GAGGAGACCTGCATGTGGCACATGGCAGAGTGTGGCGATGGAGACAGCAGTAATGGGAGACCGTACAGGGACCCATGAGAGACTCTGGACCTGGCAGCAGCATGAGGAGGCGGTATATAGGGGCCCATGGCAGATTAGGGGCCTGGCAGAAGCTATGGGAGTCCCGTAATCTGCCAGCACCCTATGTCAAAAAATTCAACACACCAGCAGTGTGAGGAGACCTGAAAGTGGCACATGGCAGAGTGTGGCGATGGAGACAGCAGCAATGGGAGGCCGTACAGGGACCCATGACAGACTCTGGACCTGGCAGCAGCATGAGGAGGCGGTATAGGGACCCATGGCAGATTAGGGGCCTGGCAGCAGCTATGGGAGGCCCGTAATCTGCCAGCACCCTATGTCAAAAAATTCAACACACCAGCAGTGTGAGGAGACCTGAAAGTGGCACATGGCAGAGTGTGGCGATGGAGACAGCAGCAATGGGAGGCCGTACAGCAGTGGTTCTCAACCTTTCTAATGCCGCGACAGCCTTAATACAGTGTTCCTCATGTTGTGGTGACCCCCAACCATAAAATTATTTTCGTTTGCTACTGGCAGCTGTAATTTTGCAGTGGGAGGAGTAGTGCCACATCATTGGTGTCATGTGGAAGGAGTCAAGTGCCCCATCACTGATGTCAGTGGGATGAATAGTGGCCCATCATTGGCATCAGTGGGAGGAATAGTGCCCCATCAATGGTGTCAGTGGGAGGAATAGTGCCCCATCACTGGTGTCAGTGGAGGAATAGTGCCCATCACTGGTGTCAGTGGGAGGAATAGTGCCCCATCACTGGTGTCAGTGGGAGGAATAGTGCCCCATCACTGGTGTCAGTGGGAGGAATAGTGCCCCATCGTTTGGTATCAGTGGGAGGAATAGTGCCCCATCGTTGGTGTCAGTGGGAGGAATAGTGCCCCATCGTTGGTGTCAGTGGGAGGAATTGTGCCCCATCGTTGGTATCAGTGGGAGGAATAGTGCCCCATCGTTGGTATCAGTGGGAGGAGGAATAGCCCAGCACCCCATCGTTGGTATTCAGTGGGAGGAATAGTGCCCCATCGTTGGTGTCAGTGGGAGGAATAGTGCCCCATCATTGGTGTCAGTGGGAGGAATAGTGCCCCATCATTGGTGTCAGTGGGAGGAATAGTGCCCCCATCATTGCTGTCAGTGGGAGGAATAGTGCCCCATCATTGGTGGCAGTCAGTGGGGGGGAGTAGTGCCCCATCATTGGTGTCAGTGGGGGGGAGTAGTGCCCCATCATTGGTGTCAATGGGGGAGGGTAGTGCCCCATCACTGGTGTCAGTGGAGGGGAGTAGTGCCCCATCACTGGTGTCAGTGGGGGGAGTAGTAGTGCCCCATCACTGGTGTCAGTGGGGGGAGTAGTGCCCATCACTGGTGTCAGTGGGAGTAGTGCCCCATCACTGGTGTCAGTGGGAGGAATAGTGCCACATCATTGGTGTCAGTGGGAGGAATAGTGCCCCATCATTGGTGGTCAGTGGGAGGAATAGTGCCCCATCATTGGTGTCAGTGGGGAGGAATAGTGTCCCATCATTGGTGTCAGTGGGAGGAATAGTGCCCCATCATTGATGTCAGTGTGGTGGAGGGGGGAGAATAGTGCCCCATCATCACTGGGGTCCAGGGGGGGGAAATAGTGTCCCCATCGTTGGTGTGTCAGTGGGGGGGAGGAATAGTGCCCCATCATTGGTGTCAGTGGGGGGGAGGAATATTGCCCCATCATTGATGTCAGTGTGGGGAGGGGAGAATAGTGCCCCATCATTGGGGTCGGGGGGGGGAAATAGTGTCCCATCGTTGGTGTCAGTGGGGGGAGGAATAGTGCCCCATCATTGGTGTCAGTGGGGGGAGGAATATTGCCCCATCATTGATGTCAGTGTGGTGGAGGGGAGAATAGTGCCCCATCATTGGGGTCAGGGGGGGGGGAAATAGTGTCCCATCGTTGTGTGTCAGTGGGGGGAGGAATAGTGCCCCATCGTTGGTGTCAGTGGGGGGAGGAATAGTGCCCCATCGTTGGTGTCAGTGGGGGGAGAATAGGGCCCCATCGTTGGTATCAGTGGGGGAGGAATAGTGCCCCATCGTTGGTATTAGTGACAGCCTGGGCTCGCTCTGCTCACTTACCTGTCAGCTGTCTTCCTTCTCTGGCCGCTCTCCTCTTCACTTCTCGCTCCGGCAGCTCCCTCGATCTTCTTTGATGTACGCGCGCTGCCGCTCGGCTCCTCCTCTCCAAGCTCCACCTCCTCGCCGGTGATTGGCCGCCTGTGTGCCTCTCCTGAGCTACAGTTCCGGTGGCCAATCAGCGGCGAGGAGGCGGAGCTGCTGAGCGAGGACGGCGGTGTGGCCAGGTGAAAGGAGCAGCGTATCATCCCGCCCACACATCGCCGGAGAGAGGAGCGGTGTCTCGGTTCCTAAGACCATCGGAAATATGTGTTTTCCGATGGTCTTAGGCGACCCCTGGGAAATGGTCGTTCGACCCCCCAAAGGGGTCGCGACCCCCAGGTTGAGAACCGCTGCCGTACAGGGACCCATGACAGACTCTGGACTTGGCAGCAGCATGAGGAGGCGGTATATAGGGGCCCATGGCAGATTAGGGGCCTGGCAGCAGCTATGGGAGGCCCGTAATCTGTCAGCACCCTATGTCAAAAAATTCAACACACCAGCAGTGTGTGAGGAGACCTGAAAGTGGCACATGGCATGAGACACTGTGGACCTGACCCAGCTGGCATTGGCAGCATGATGAGGAGGCGGTACAGGGGCCCATGGCAGATTAGGGGCCTGGCAGCAGCTATGGGAGCCCGTAATCTGCCAGCACCCTATGTCAAAAAATTCAACTGTGAGGAGACCTGAAAGTGGCACATGGCAGAGTGTGGCGATGGAGACAGCAGCAATGGGAGGCCGTACAGGGACCCATGACAGACTCTGGACTTGGCAGCAGCATGAGGAGGCGGTATATAGGGGCCCATGGCAGATTAGGGGCCTGGCAGCAGCTATGGGAGGCCCGTAATCTGCCAGCACCCTATGTCAAAAAATTCAACACACCAGCAGTGTGTGAGGAGACCTGAAAGTGGCACATGGCAGAGTGTGGCGATGGAGACAGCAGCAATGGGAGGCCGTACAGGGACCCATGACAGACTCTGGACTTGGCAGCAGCATGAGGAGGCGGTATATAGGGGCCCATGGCAGATTAGGGGCCTGGCAGCAGCTATGGGAGGCCCGTAATCTGCCAGCACCCTATGTCAAAAAATTCAACACACCAGCAGTGTGTGAGGAGACCTGAAAGTGGCACATGGCAGAGTGTGGCGATGGAGACAGCAGCAATGGGAGGCCGTACAGGGACCCATGACAGACTCTGGACTTGGCAGCAGCATGAGGAGGCGGTATATAGGGGCCCATGGCAGATTAGGGGCCTGGCAGCAGCAGCTATGGGAGGCCCGTAATCTGCCAGCACCCTATGTCAAAAAATTCAACACACCAGCAGTGTGTGAGGAGACCTGAAAGTGGCACATGGCATGAGCAGCAATGGGAGGCCGTACAGGGACCCATGACAGACTCTGGACTGGCAGCAGCATGAGGAGGGTATAGGGGCCCATGGCAGATTAGGGGCCTGGCAGCAGCTATGGGAGGCCCGTAATCTGCCAGCACCTATGTCAAAAAAAATTGAACACACCAGCAGTGTGTGAGGAGACCTGAAAGTGGCACATGGCAGAGTGTGGCGATGGAGACAGCAGCAATGGGAGGCCGTACAGGGACCCATGAGAGACTCTGGACCTGGCAGCAGCATGAGGAGGCGGGTATATAGGGGCCCATGGCAGATTAGGGGCCTGGCAGCAGCTATGGGAGGCCCGTAATCTGCCAGCACCCTATGTCAAAAAAATTCAACACACCAGCAGTGTGTGAGGAGACCTGAAAGTGGCACATGGCAGAGTGTGGCGATGGAGACAACCCACCGACTGTTTTGCTCGCTGCCAAGCTGCCACCCTCTTCTCCTGATGATGCGGAAGCAATAGCCTGATGACGACGAGGCTGCCAAGTGCGATCAGCCTCATCATCATCAATTAGGGTCTCCGCCTCACTACTAGCCCCCTCGGCTGCGTGTGGGTCAGGAGACAGACCTGTCTCTACACCGGCTACCGAGCCACTCTCCTCGCCACTACTTCTTCGCCTGGCTGCTGAAGAGGCGGATGTCTCCCCCCGTTCCTGACCGCCCTCTGTTAGCTCTTCCTCACTGTACTGGATGACACCGGGAGCACTAGCCTCTGGCTGCGAATAGTGCTGCCTCGACCCCTTCCTCTGCTGCCCACGTCTGCTCGCTCCTAAAACATTGCCTCCTCTGCCACTCCTCTGCATGTTGTCTGACATACTCTTTAATTAAACGATTCTGTGTCCCTGAGTAACAATTCTGTGTCCCTGAGTAACGTTTCTGTGGCCCTAAGTAACAGTTCTGTGGCCCTAAGTAACAGTTCTGTGGCCCTCAGTAACAATTCTGTGTCCCTCAGAGTAACAAATTCTGTGTCCCTCAGTAACAATTCTGTGTCCCTCAGTAACAATTCTGTGTCCCTCAGTAACAATTCTGTGTCTGTCCCTGAGTAACAATTCTGTGTCTGTCCCTGAGTAACAATTCTGTGTCCCTGAGTAACGTTTCTGTGGCCCTAAGTAACATTTCTGTGGCCCTCAGTAACAATTTCTGTCAGGTCCCCTAAAAGTGTCTGTCCCTGAGTAACAATGTAACCAATTCTGTGTCTGTCCCTGAGTAACAATTCTGTGTCCCTCAGTAACAATTCTGTGTCCCTCAGTAACAATTCTGTGTCCCTGAGTAACAATTCTGTGTCCCCTCAGTAACAATTCTGTGTCCCTCAGTAACAATTTCTGTGTCCCTCTGTGGCCCAGTAACAATTCTGTGTCCTGTCCCTGAGTAACAATTCTGTGTCCCTCAGTAACAATTCTGTGTCTGTCCCTGAGTAACAATTCTGTGTCCCTCAGTAACAATTCTGTGTCCCTCAGTAACAATTCTGTGTCCCTGAGTAACAATTCTGTGTCCCTCAGTAACAATTCTGTGTCCCTCAGTAACAATTCTGTGTCTGTCCCTGAGTAACAATTCTGTGTCTGTCCCTGAGTAACGTTTCTGTGTGGCCCCTAAGTAACGGTTCTGTGGCCCCTCAGTAACAATTTTCTGTGTCCCTCAGTAACAATTCTGTGTCTGTCCCTGAGTAACTGTTCTGTGTCTGTCCCTGAGTAACAATTCTGTGTCCCTGAGTAACGTTTCTGTGGCCCTAAGTAACAATTCTGTGGCCCTCAGTAACAATTCTGTCTGTCCCTGAGTAACAATTCTGTGGTCCCCTCAGTAACAATTCTGTGTCCCTCAGCCACAATTATGTGTCCTGAGTAACAATTCTGTGTCCCCTCAGTAACAATTCTGTGTCCCTCAGTAACAATTCTGTGTCCCTGAGTAACAATTCTGTGTCTGTCCCTGAGTAACGTTTCTGTGGCCCTAAGTAACGGTTCTGTGGCCCTCAGTAACAATTCTGTGTCCCTGAGTAACAATTCTGTGTCTGTCCCTGAGTAACAATTCTGTGGCCCTAAGTAACGGTTCTGTGGCCCTCAGTAACAATTTCTGTGTCCCTGAGTAACAATTCTGTGGCCCTAAGTAACGGTTCTGTGGCCCTCAGTAACAATTCTGTGTCTGTCCCTCAGTAACAATTCTGTGTCTGTCCCTGAGTAACAATTCTGTGGCCCTAAGTAACGGTTCTGTGGCCCTCAGTAACAATTCTGTGTCCCTGAGTAACGTTTCTGTGGCCCTAAGTAACGGTTCTGTGGCCCTCAGTAACAATTCTGTGTCCCTCTGAGTAAATTCTGTGTCTGTCCCTGAGTAACAATTCTGTGGCCCTAAGTAACGGTTCTGTGGCCCTCAGTAACAATTCTGTGTCCCTCAGTAACAATTCTGTGTCTGTCCCTGAGTAACAATTCTGTGGCCCTAAGTAACAATTCTGTGTCCCTGAGTAACAATTTCTGTGGCCCTAAGTAACAAGTTCTGTGGCCCTCAGTAACAATTCTGTGTCCCTGAGTAACAATTCTGTGTCCTGAGTAACAATTCTGTGGCCCCTAAGTAACGGTTCTGTGGCCCTCAGTAACAATTCTGTGTCCCTGAGTAACAATTCTGTGGCCCTAAGTAACGGTTCTGTGGCCTCAGTAACAATTCTGTGTCCCTCAGTAACAATTCTGTGTCTGTCCCTGAGTAACAATTCTGTGGCCCTAAGTAACGGTTCTGTGACCCTCAGTAACAATTCTGTGTCCCTGAGTAACGTTTCTGTGGCCCTAAGTAACGGTTCTGTGGCCCCTCAGTAACATTTCTGTGTCCCTGAGTAACAATTCTGTGTCTGTCCCTGAGTAACAATTCTGTGGCCATAAGTAACGGTTCTGTGGCCCTCAGTAACAATTCTGTGTCCCTCCCAGTAACAATTCTGTGTCTGTCCCTGAGTAACAATTCTGGCCCTCAGTAACAATTCTGTGGCCCTGAGTAACAATTCTGTGGCCCTAAGTAACAATTCTGTGGCCCTAAGTAACAATTCTGTGTCCCTCAGTAACAATTCTGTGTCCCTCAGTAACAATTCTGTGTGTGTCCCTGAGTAACAATTCTGTGGCCCTAAGTAACAATTCTGTGGCCCTAAGTAACAGTTCTGTGGCCCCAGTAACAATTCTGTGTCCCTGAGTAACGTTTCTGTGTCCCTAAGTAACAATTCTGTGGCCCTCAGTAACAATTCTGTGTCTGTCCCTGAGTAACAATTCTGTGGCCCTAAGTAACGGTTCTGTGGCCCTCAATAACAATTCTGTGTCCCTGAGTAACGTTTCTGTGGCCCTAAGTAACAATTCTGTGGCCCTCAGTAACAATTCTGTGTCTGTCCCTGAGTAACAATTCTGTGGCCCTCTAGTAACGGTTCTGTGGCCCTCAGTAACAATTCTGTGTCCCTCAGTAACAATTCTGTGGCCCTCAGTAACAATTCTGTGGCCCTCAGTAACAATTCTGTGTCCCTGTGTCCCTCAGTAACAATTCTGTCTGGCCCTAAGTAACAATTCTGTGGCCCTAAGTAACAATTCTGTGTCCCTCAGTAACAATTCTGTGGCCCTCAGTAACAATTCTGTGTCCCTCAGTAAACAATGTGGCCCTAAGTAACGGTTCTGTGGCCCTCCTGAGTAACAATTCTGTGTCCCTAAGTAACAGTTCTGTGGCCCTCAGTAACAATTCTGTGTCCCTCAGTAACAATTCTGTGTCTGTCCCGAGTAACAATTCTGTGGCCTAACTAACGTTTCTGTGGCCCTAAGTAACAGTTTCTGTGGCCCTCAGTAACAATTCTGTGTCCCTGAGTAACGTTTCTGTGGCCCTAAGTAACAATTCTGTGGCCCTCAGTAACAATTCTGTGTCTGTCCCTGAGTAACAATTCTGTGGCCCTAACTAACGTTTCTGTGGCCCTAAGTAACAGTTCTGTGGCCCTCAGTAACAATTCTGTGTCTGTCCCTGAGTGTCTGTGGCCCTGAGTAACAATTCTGTGGCCCTAACTAACATTTCTGTGGCCCTAAGTAACAATTCTCTGGCACTCAGTAACAATTCTGTCTGGCCCTGAGTAACAATTCTGTGGCCCTAAGTAACGTTTCTGTGGCCCTAAGTAACAGTTCTGTGGCCCTCAGTAACAATTCTGTGTCTGTCCCTGAGTAACAATTCTGTGGCCCTAACTAACGTTTCTGTGGCCCTAAGTAACAATTCTCTGGCACTCAGTAACAATTCTGTCTGTCCCTGAGTAACAATTCTGTGGCCCTAACTAACGTTTCTGTGGCCCTAAGTAACAGTTCTCTGGCCCTCAGTAACAATTCTGTGTCTGTCCCTGAGTAACAATTCTGTGGCCCTAACTAACGTTTCTGTGGCCCTAAGTAACAATTCTCTGGCCCTCAGTAACAATTCTGTCTGTCCCTGAGTAACAATTCTGTGGCCCTAATAACGTTTCTGTGGCCCTAAGTAACAGTTCTGTGGCCCTCAGTAACAATTCTGTGTCTGTCCCTGAGTAACAATTCTGTGGCCCTAACTAACGTTTCTGTGGCCCTAAGTAACAATTTCTGGCACTCAGTAACAATTCTGTCTGTCCCTGAGTAACAATTCTGTGGCCCTAATAACGTTTCTGTGGCCCTAAGTAACAGTTCTCTGGCCCTCAGTAACAATTCTGTGTCTGTCCCTGAGTAACAATTCTGTGGCCCTAACTAACGTTTCTGTGGCCCTAAGTAACAATTCTCTGGCACCAGTAACAATTCTGTCTGTCCCTGAGTAACAATTCTGTGGCCCTAATAACGTTTCTGTGGCCCTAAGTAACAGTTCTGTGGCCCTCAGTAACAATTCTGTGTCTGTCCCTGAGTAACAATTCTGTGGCCCTAACTAACGTTTCTGTGGCCCTAAGTAACAATTCTCTGGCACTCAGTAACAATTCTGTCTGTCCCTGAGTAACAATTCTGTGGCCCTAACTAGCGTTTCTTTGGCCCTAAGTAACGATTCTTTAGCCCTCATTAACAATTCTGTGTCCCTGAGTAATGCTTCTCTGTCCCTAAGTAACGTTTCTCTGTCCCCAAGTAACGTTTCTGTGGCCCTAACTCTGTCCCTAATACAGAGCGGTCTGCCTCTCTTGAATGACTGGAGGCAAATGAAGAATTCTAAAATGGCCGCTATTTATAGCTCGACCATTACACAGTGCTGGCTGGCTGGCTGCTGATTGGCTAATGCGATCACATGTCATTAAGGAATGCAT